GGGATTAGTCGATGTCAAGAGAGACTAGGTCGTCGCCGCGAGTCCACTCACGGCCTCATCAGTCAAAAGTCCACGCGTCGTCGTCGCGCCCCCTCGCGCTGCACGTGGCTAGTCTAAGCTGCTGCTCGTTGACCATCGGTCAACGGTCCTGGAGACATTGAAAGGGAGGCGCCAACAGTAGGCACCTTTGTTTGCCTTCCCTGCCGCCATGCATGCATCACACTGCCAAACCACCCATTTCTCAATCTCTCTCGCACACAAATTATACATCAGAATTATATTAGAGTTGGATCTTTTTTATACAACTCTAGTGCATATACCATATATAGTAGCTCTCCCAGTTTTTTAACGTCTTAAACAATGACAACGATCTTCAAAATATATCTTTATCTTTTACTATATGATTCTATTATAATATATAAAAAACAAGTAAATATTTAATTTTTTAAAATACATTTTAGGACTAATAATCTATGCATAACATTGTATTGTCTTTAAACTGTAAGTTTTAAAAGTTACTAGTAGTTAAAATTTTAATTGTTAGACATTAACTTCGTCAAATGCATTAAGAATTACTCGTTGGCAATGATGGAGGAGTACGAAATAAGGCTGAATTCTTTTTGGCAACTCAAAACATCAACTTATTACTCGTTTTTCGTTAGCACGTTTCCTGGATTTGCTAAACGGTGTGTTGTGCAAAATTTTCTATACAGAAGTTTTCTTTTTCTAAAAAAGAAAAATCAAATGAATATATTTTCAGGTTTGTAATAGGAAATTGATGTACGTACGATTTTTTTCTTACGATCTTAGTACGATAACGGGCACGAGCACACGGCGCATACGCACGTGGCAGTCAAGAGCACTTATGGGCTAGGAGAGAAACGTTTCATCGTATAAACATCTAAAAAAAATCGTACGTATAGCAGTTGCTCCGCCACAACACTTCTTCCAACGCAGCCTAATCACATCCATGCGTACACTAGTACGTGGTACTTGTCGATTTGTACCACAGCTAGAAGTACTGCATGCATGCTTTCGTTTGGCACGTTAGTACGTCGTACTGAGCTATTACCCGAGAACCAAAAAGATCGATATGGTACTAGGCTACTAGCATTGTAGCTGCTGACAGTGGATGCATTGCATTGTACCGATCGATATGTATCCGTGATCTGTTGCGATCTATCCATCTGTCCGGTGATGCATGCATGGTGGCACCCCAGGGCCATCTATCCATCCATGCAGGCCACTAGCGGCGGCAAGCATTGTGCATTTGTGCAAAGAACCAAATCCCCAAAAGGGCTTCTCCCTCCAAGATCTGGCCCTAGCTCCCCCCCTACTCCATCATCTACACCCAGCATTGCACGTTGAGCAACAAAGCTACAGCTAGCTAGTGCCTTCTCCATCCTGTTTGCCTCCTCTCTCTCCTTTGCCTTTGCAAAGATCGATCGATCGATCTCATCTGATCAGCTCGATCTGCATGCACTCGCACGTATATACTTGCGAGGTATAGGAGAGATTACAGAAGATGTAGTGGATAGAGAGACAGTGGGTGGTGTGGTCTCTCCCTGCAGCATATGGCCATTGCCATGCAGATGAGATGGAGATGGATCGATATATCACCAGTCGATGCGTGTAGTACGTGTATCATGTGTGTCAGCCAACGCATATGTACTACTACGACATGCGCATGTGCGAGCCAGCCGGCGACCGGCCGTTGGTTGTTGGTCCCTATAGCTTTGATCCTTTCTCTTTTTGATCGATCGATCTCAAAAGGCACAGGATTTGGTCCATCCAGCAACTGAAATGAACTGATCGATCGATGATGACCATATATGCTCGCGATCGAGAGGCATGAATTGATGAGTCGATCGATGGATGGCCGACCCAGTTGGAGAGAGATCGAGATCGGGACTGGATACGAGAGAGCCATATCAGCTAGCGGCAGCAGAGAGATATAGCTAAGCTGCGAGAGGCTCAAGATGAAGCCTTATCCGTCAGAGAGTTGGAGTAAGATCGTATCACAGGCAGTACAGTTTCAGATAGGGATCGATCGAGCTGCAGGATATATCTCTATCCATCTTGCCGGTGCGTGCGTGGAAAGCCCTGCACAGGGATGTGGGTGTCTGGGAATTTGGCTAGTGCTGTGCTGCATGTGTGCATTGAGGAGCTTTGCTTTCAACAAGATCACCAGGAGATAGAGAACTGTACATCATGCTGGAAGCATTTAAGATACGTAGTATATAGTTATATTCCTTTGTTTCATTGATTTTTGGTATGACGTTTGGTTATTCATCATATCAAAAATTAAAATACATGTATTATTTATTTTGTTGTGACTTGTTTTTTATTAAAAAAATTAAACATTACTTGTACTTTTTTAGTATTTACATTTTTTTGAATAAAACGAGTGATCAAACGTTGTGCCAAAAGTCAATGGTGTTATCTGTTGAGAGATGGAGGCATTAATTGACAAGTACTACTCTTCACAAAGTTATTATTCCATGTAAAAGTAATGCATATAATACATGTGAAAATCAGGTCACCGAGAGAAGTAGTGGCTGTTGAATATATTATCCGCTGGACAATTTTGCAATTTAGGGATACCTGACTGCTACTACTGCTTACAAAGTTATTATTCCATGATTCCATCGCATATAATTCAGGTGGAAATAAGGTCACCGAGAGGAGTAGTGGCTGTTAAATATATTATATCCGCTGGACAAACTTGCAATTTAGTGTAGCTACCACTTTGCTCTTTTTTCTTTGAGGTTTTCTCAATTGTTTTTTATTTCAAAAGTAGCAACAACTTGGAGTTTCTGCTTGGATGGTTAAAAAACACATGCTAAAAAAATTATCCGATCGATACCGGGGGCTCATCCTGAACCGGGAGAGAGAATGAACAAATCCCCCCAACATGCCATGCTATTGTCATGGACGCAGCATGAGAAAAAAGGCCCAAAAGTGTGGCCTTCCCGGCAATAGGCAAGTAGGCTCGCGCGTAGTTTAAAATCCAGTGGCCACGAGTCATTCGAGCCCCGTCTTTCGCGAGTCCCAAGGAAGATTTTCGCAACAGCGGAGATCTCGTTCCAGAAGCGGCTCGCTTTAAGGTGGCAGTGGCAGCTCCCCCCCGCCCGACGCGACATGCGAAATTTCAGTGCTCGATCGGATAGTTGTTGGCGCCAAGCTAATTAGAAGAACCGGCCTTAAATCATCTATAGTCATATAGTCAATTTAGTAGTTAATTCATTCAATAGCTATCTATAAACATATACTCCCTCCGTCCTATAAAAAACCAATATAATACCGGATGTTACATATCATAATACTACAAATCTAGACATACATATGTCTAGATTCGTAGTAACATGTTATATCCGATTCTAGACTCTGTTTTTTATAGGACGGAGGGAATACTACACAATTAATATTTTGTCCCACCTGTAATATACAAATGCATGTTGGAGTTTGTGTTGCAGCTATCTACAAATCTATATCCTGCTGCTCTTTTCTATCCTCTCTAATCTTCTCGAAATGTGTTTATAGCTGGTTTATAGTCTGCTATTGTACCTGTTGTAAGATAGGCGAGGTAGAGGAAGAAATCCCTGTAATTCTATTCCAACTTGGCGTAATAAGTTCTCAAAAAAAGAAAACTTGGCGTAATACTACTAGTTCTAGACGAAATGCGCCACTAGTGGCTGGATGGCTACTCTACTCCATCACCGGTCTTCAGATTTGCCGACCAAACTCCCAGCTAGGGGATTGACTTTGCCTTCCACCGCTGCATCCATCCATCCATCGATCCATCCGGGTCGGTGAGATTCTCCATGACCGTGAGCCTCCCTATCACATAATATTACCAATTATCAAATGCGCCACTGTATCATTTCTCTAAGTCTCGTGGACAAATAATAAGGATCTGAAACCCTGAGGACTCTGAAAATTACAGCACATTGTTTATGACGGCGGGAAAGCATGCATTGCCTGGAGGATGAACATGGACGGGTTCTTTTCTCAGCCCTACGATTCCTTTGCTTCCTCTCCTAAGATGACCACGTCCAGAGGGGAGTTCAAAACTGTCCAGAGCGAATGCATCCGACAGGTTCGTGTGGCCCTGCGAAACTGCAATTCCTTTTGCTGCTCTGAATTCTTCCTACTTTGGCCAGAAAAAAAAGAGGGCGGCGATTTGGACGGACAGAATCACAGAATCTTATCTCTCTCCATGGATGTTCGTCGCAGCTAGCTGAGCTAGCCAGCGAGGTTTTTCATCAGGACAAATCATGGCACCGGCTAAATCACCGTCATTTCATTAGTTAAACACACCGGCACACACACGATCGTTCGTGCGTAGTGTCTGATCTATGGTGGAATATAAGTAAATCCTGCTGTGTACTACCATATTTTGGCAAGGTTCATCCAATCCTTTCAGACTTGACAGAATTTCAGTCCAGCAATTTGCGTGGCAGTACTACTAGTATAGAGTGTCCACTAGGCTCGAATTGTCCTTTGGTTGCTACTAGTGAACATGCCACTTGCCCTGTTCCTCACCCACTTCACCATCATCCGGTTCTCTGAATCTCTCTGCAAACCTGTGTCACACAGCTAGAGTCCAAATTAGCATTGATACTCTACTCCCTCTGCATTGCTCTCTCCACCAGGTTGGGCTCAAGAACATGGCATGTTTAGTGTTTACCAGCAGCAAGCACAAATGCAGCAATTTTAATCCTGAAAGCACATCAAACGTCATGCTTCATGCATGCATTGCCGCCTTTGATGTCACCAGTGAAAGAAAGAATAACGCCAGGATGTCCTCATCCCATAGCGACTCCACCTCGGAAACCAGCTGGGCAAACGTAAGACGACTGAACCCGAAACATGACAACGAAATCGTGATCAGATCACTACCTCTTTTGGTGATCTTTGACACGACAGAAAGTTTAGTCTGATCGGTAGGCCTATCACTTCTCTGAAAGAAAAAAAAACAACTCCATTGCTGGAGAGAATCAAATCTCCAAACCGGACAAATAAATCACATACATTCTGATGTTTTTTGTTTCATATGGAAGATGATCAAATCATTCCAGGCCTCTGAATCTAGGAAATGCACACGGATAATAATTTTAAGTTCACACAATAAATCACACGCCACTCTTCAAATCTGAAAGTGTTTGGACTTTGGACTTCACATCAAAAGCATATGCTTCAAACACAAAGTTAAGAACACAATTCTGCAGAGCTCAATCAAAACAGGTACTTGGAGATGTAGTACTTATTAGAGCTGGGAGCTGCAGTTCTGTTCCTGTCACCCAGCCAGTGCTGCATGTGCACGCCAATGGCGTCCAGGTACAGGCCGCTCCGGCCATGGAACCCGACCACCTTCCCTTCCGTCGTCGCCGAGCTGAAGTAGGTCCCGACCTCCTCGCCGAACGGCCCGTACTTCCCCCGGTTGCTGACGAGAGTGATCGACCTCAGCACTCTGGGCCCTTCATCCTGGCAGGTGTTGTAGTAGCCGTATATGCAGTTCAGGACCTCGTGTGGGTAGTCCAGCTTGATCTGCACCGGCATTTTGGTGAACAGTTGATTAATTAGCATCATACAAATCTCATCTGAAGTCTTTAAGCTTTGGTTACATGAGACTGGTTGATGCTTGCAGTGCAGACAATTTCATCTGCTTTGCCACATTGTCTCGGATCATTATGAAACAGCTTGAATTTTGTTACTGAAAATAGGTGAGCAAGTTGAGTAATCAAACTCACTCTGTGTGTTATCTGGCCACCGTTGCCGTGCCTTGTGGACCAGATGGATTGGCCACTCCTGTCGTACTCAATCTGCACAGAACCGATGAAATCGGCTCTCATGATGTAGATTTGCTTCACTCCTGTGTAGACACCATCGTCCCATGGCTTGCCTCCCTCGCCACCCCAAGGCCCTGGCCCTACTGGTATTGGTTCTTTCACCACACCATATGTAACCTACACACTCACAAAAAAAAAGAAAACACTTTTTTTCATTGGTCATAATAGTTTCACTATCAGCAACACAGAAAAAGATGTTCTGAAAATCTACTAATACTTCTTGCAATTTAGCATTTGGGACATGGTACACTTACCTCATCTCCTATTTCCCTCTGTGCTACTGCAAGCATATCGGCGTGCCGAGACGGGCTCGTTTCGGTCAATGCTCTGTCAGCTCTCTGTGACAACACCTTGCCTTCAAGGACATGGACTCCAATGCTGTCGATGTACCACCCATCCCTGCCATGGAATCCTACTATCCTACCTTCGGTCAGGCAGCTGGAGAAGAACGTGCCAGTCTCATCCCCGAAAGGACCATGGCTCTTCTTCGTCGTGTGGAATGTCAGAGACTTGATCACCGTTGATCCCATGATCATCGTCGAACTGAAGTAACCAGTTATGTGAGTTAAGATCTCTGATGGAAAATCGAATACTACCTGTCAAACAAAATCTCCATACCATCAGGACTAGTACTAGTAGCAGTACATCACAAGTTTGAAACTGAAAATTCAGAAGCTGAAGTGCAGTTTCAGAGTAATTTTTCAGAAGCTGAAATTCAGAAATTGCATCACCTTCTCAGCCCTTGCTGCCCCACTGGATCCACGCTTATCACCCCATATAGCCTGCCCATTTCGATCATAGAGGACCTTCATCGTCGATATACCCAATCCTCGCTTTAAATTGATCTGTCGAACACCAGTGTATATACCGTCGTCGAATATGGTGCCGCCATTTCCACCCCAGGGACCAAATCTCACCGGAGTGCTTATTGTCATGGTCCCATTATCCGAGTAGAAACTAGGCAGTGACACCATCTGTACATTACAGCAAAATTCCACGTACTAATAAATCCCCTTTCAGCTACAATATATGTAAAGGACTCTGAACCAAGTAATCACTGTAGAGTTTCTGAATTTATCCTACCTTGTTCCAGAGAGTAGCATCCTGTGATTGGTTAGGATACTGTTCCTTGGGATTGTTGCTAGTCAGGACACTGTAGCTGTCACCTCTGTCTCTGACGGCAAGAACCATGTCATACCCAGCATTGCTATCTGCGTACCTGTTGCCATTCTTGTCATGAGGTCTCGTGATGCTCCTGAGAGCTGAAGGAGCATTGGACGACGGAGTGGCGTTCTTCTCCTTCTTGAAATGGCAGCCGATTGAGTCGAGAAACCACCCGGATTTGCCATGGAAGCCGATGACCTTACCGGTGACCGCCACTGGGAGCGAGAAGGGCGTCCCTTCCTCGGAGCCGAAAGGCCCGTACTTGGAGAGGTTGCTCCTGAATGTTAGTGATCTTACGACGATGCAGCCTCCCAATGATCCGTAGTAGCCACTGACAGAGGTGAGGATTTCTTGAGGGTAGTCGAGTTTCACCTGTTAGAAACAGCACCACTTCCTCAGTCTGAAACTCAAACGCCTGCAGCCTAACGTTCTTGTCAGAGTATGTGATTTCTTCAGAAAAAGTAGCAAGACGTTCATGTCTTCTGTTTGCAGAAAACAGTTGCAGCAATGAATTTCTAGCTTAATCTATTTAGCAAATTAGCACAACTATGACATGTCCGTTCAAGAATGTTACTTTTAAGTTTTAAGTAGCATACTTGTGCAGATGGAATAAAATTGTGATGACATTGGCACATCTGAGTACTTAAATTCTCAGGTCAGGGACTTGGGGACAAAATTCAGACAAACCTGATCAGTTTTGGTGCCTCCATCACCTCCATGCTTCTCTGACCAGACTGACTTTCCTTTCAGGTCATACTCGATCTTGATGGAATCAATGGCTGCACCATGAGTAATCACGACCTGCCTCACCGTGGAGTGCACGCCGTCGTCCCAAAGGGTTCCTCCCAACCCTCCCCACGGCCCAACGAGTATCGGGTTCTTCCCGTTGAATCCTTTAAAGCTCTATTGGACATGAACAGATCATTATATTTGTGTTAGGTTCATGATACATCATGAAGTAATCCACCATCTATTAGCACTTAAATCAATATAATTGGTAGTATTACTCTTCTTGACTAACAGGATTTCTGTTATCCTTGCATATCTATGAGTTAAGCCTCTTGGTCCTAACAAAATTCTACCGACCAACAAAAGCTAAGCTTGGTTCAGTTTCTACCTTTTGCAGGATAGATATTTGATGTCAGTATGTCATTTTGATCTTATAACCAAGCAAGCTACTGAAATTCTGAAAGTGTAACCTGGAAACTGAAAGTTTACTTCAAAGATATAATAAACTAGCAGGACAAACTACGAACAAGTTTCATGAAGACACTAAACATACTCCCATATAAATGTTCGTTTCCCAGAGAACTCTACATCAAAGAACCATCTTTTTTATTTCCATTCCTTCTTTTTGCCAGCACGCACGCAATCATTCATACATGCAGATAAATACACACAAGTTAATGAACAAACAGGGAGAAATTACCATGTTCCGTTGGCCAAACAAAATCAACTGACGGAGAGAATTGACTAATTAAGCTTTTTTCACAGCTGGTGCCAAGTGATGAGCTTACTATTACGACAAGAAGCACTCACCTGCCTATTTATAGTGGAACCGGTAAAACGAGGGCCAGAAAAAAAAAAGAGCAAGCATCGTCAAAATTCACAGAGCAGCTGGCAGCCACTGCAGCGTAAACGGCTCAAGAAACTTGAAAGCTACTACTGGGGAAGAACTGGATTCGCTTACCTATAGGTCTTCTGCAATTTGCGTATAGGTCTTCTACGATTTGCCCGGTTTGATTCACGGGACGGAAAGAAGCTTTTTTTTTTTTTTGTTGCCCTCCGCTCGCTCTCATCTTTCGTGATTCCCGGCGTTCACGATGGAAAACTAAAGTTGGCACCCGTGTTTTCCTTTTCTGATTATATGAGGATTTCGAGAATTCTCTTCCCATTGTATTGTCACTTTCTTGTCTGCTTTCCTTCATCTTTTGGGTTGAATCGATCAGTTGATGTCGTGAAATGGACGGCATGAAAAACATCAATATTTTGTAGAAACCAGCATCAGGCATCAGGCATAGCATCAAGTGCACATTCTAAGAAATTTTTGAGAATTCTCCTCCCATGGTCTTGTCACTTGCTCTGCTTTCCTTTTATCTTTGGTTGAATGGAACAGTCGATATGGTGAAATGGACGCCATAAAACACACCAATAGTTTGTAGAGACCAAGCATCAGGCATAGTAATAAGTGCACTGCAGATTGGTTCAAACTGACGATATCTCTGCACGAACATACAGAATAGCTCAAGGTTCTGATATGTACAACTTTCGATGGCGTCAACGGGTAAAGGGGAAATGGGGAACTGTAAATGAGGAAACAACAGTTATACAACATTCCTCTTTCGATGCAGATGATATTGTTGGTACACCACTGATGATATCGTTTAATCCAGAAGGCGGTTCTCTGAATAATATGTGCATGAGCATCCCGTCGCTTGCTTTCACGCAACTGTTTTACACATTCTGAAGGGAACTCTGGTGGCCATAGGACTGGAGCCCTGGAGGTGATCTTTCTAACGATTGATTGGTTGCACCTTACTTGTTCAGAAAGGCCTTCAAAGAAAATGGCGGGTAAGAATCCTGCTCCAAGAGTTGAAATGTCATGTATGCATCATGATGTTAAAGCACACCAATAGTTAAATAGAAGTTTAAGTGGACTGTAGTAACTTATGATTATGGAAAAACATGCACCCCAATAAAAGAAATAGCAATAATTAAGATAGATAAGAACAAAAAAAAAGATGTTCAACAAGATACGATGCAGCCGTACAGAATCATGATTGATCGTGAGATGAAGAAAAAGATAGAGATGTTACCTTGCCAACTTCCTGCTGTAGGTATTGTCTAACCACAGTTGCTTGCTGTATCACTCTCTCCAATGATGAATATGCTGGTCGATTAGCATGTGCTGTCATTGATCATGAGACAAAGATCACAATCGTGTCATCAGCGGATGAGACCACAGCAAATAGTATCTTAGAACATACCAAGAACAATATCTTAGAACATACCAAGAACAGCCCGATTCAAGCTATCTGCAACATTCTGCCTGTACTCTGGGCTTAGTAGATGAAACATAGGTGACTTCTCAGGCTCTTCATAAGCTAGGAGGGCCATAAAGTCCTATACATATAAAACAAAAGTTAACTTTTCATAGTATTCCAAGCATAGCATTACAAAGCAGCCAATCATAAGTTCAATACACAAAAAGTATGTCACCATATGTTCCATATTTATTTTGTTAAGCGGCACCTCTACTTCAAACGTTTTCACCATATTTTGCATTTAATAAATATAATACCCAATGGCCGGCGTTGATAATGATGGACTACCTAGCATCGGTACTTGGATAGGACAGTATAGCACCAGCAATTACTAAACAAATGCAATACAAAAACCGCGCTGCCATTTAAATCTGATGTATTTAATAAAGATAACAAAATACATGATAGCCCAGAAAACAGGCTGACATAACTTTGATGACAAATCAGATCTACAAGGCGGCAACATAGGGCAAATGAAGGTGTGCCAGGTACCAATACTGTTTTGCAAGTAGCTAAGTACTTGAATAGAAATCTATATCTCATGCATAGTGATAAACTAGATTCACCATACTGAAAGTTTTTTCAAGACCAATATTTTTGTTTTGCCTCTTTTGTATGGGTAACAAATGGTAGTGAAGTTCTTTAACATCATTGCCAGTTCTCTAAATTGATGGCCTGACAAGAAGACAGAATTTGCATGACCTGAAAACTGTCTAATATAAGCATATGTAGGTTTAGGAAAAGTTACCTCTAGTTTCTCAACGTACTTGGGCACTTTCCCAAATGGCGTCAACTTTTTCTGACCAAACTCAAGAGCTTCTGTGCTGTCAGTCAAAACATCCAGATTAATCCAAAATACATGGCACAGTTATTTTTTTTCCAAAAATAAAGCTACTTACCATTTTCTAGAACGAACTAACTCAATGAAGTGAAGACTTAAAAGATCAAAATGCAAATCCATATCATTCTCTAGCAAGTTAGGTGCCAACTCTTCTGTCAGGTCTATAGCCTTCAGGGCATTGCCTTCCAACACAAAACTAAAAATCGCTGAAAGAAACCAAAACAAAAGCGTTAGATGCAAGTGCATGCGACTAGACAAATGGAATGCAGATGCATTTTTTAATACTGGCACAGTGTACATGTTCATGATAGATTAGATACAATCCATATTATCTGCTTTAACCACCAACTATTTCAAATGAAGTTACAAATTCCATCCAAGATAACAGAGCATCGGAAATTTCCAGAAACCCCATAATTATTAATTTATTATTTCTAAGGGCTATATTTAATCCTAAATCCATGTTGCACAAGAAAGTTAGGTATCCTTGTATGAGGAGTATAGAGGTAACAGCACAGTAAAGAGTCATACCATGAAATAAACCCTATATTAATGGCATGCTATTAGAAAAAAACCTATCTTACACTTTGTACGGAAAAGGTACTAAAGAATAATATAGCTATACACAATTCTATTACTTCATAACATGTGTAACTTATGTAGTAAGTGTTCAATAAAACTTGCATTTGCAATTATGTGCAACAGAGATCACATCCAACAAGTTCAGTAATGATTGACAACAAACAAGTAAACAAAAACTGCATCTATACTGAACTGAAATGACTCCATGTCCCACTAGCTAAATTATGCTGCAATTCCATTGATGGGTTGATTTTACAAAGATTATTTCAGCTAATGAACGGTGTCGTTAGCACAGCCTTTTTGTCCCTAAAACAAGTGAGCTGAGAGCACATCTTTTATTAGCATGAAACTTGAAAGGGAAGCTGCTAAGGATTGTGTAGACAAACAAAAACATGAGCATTCATAAAAAGATACAAATGAACTAACATAACAATATAAAGTGCTTATGCAGCAATTTTACAAGTGTTGAACATCCAAAGAAAGATACAAGATTCAGTGTTGATATGTGAATAAATACCTTTACGCTTATCTACATCTACAGTGTAATCAACAGGCAGTTCCAAACCAGTGCTGGATAAGAATGTCTCAGCAGTCTCCTTAAAACAGTTGTGCATAAGATAAGACAACACTATGTTGCGGACATCGTTATCACTCACGGACTGGAAAAAATGAAAATTTAGTGTCAATAGCAGTATATACCTTCAATAAATACGAAGGTAAACATAGACATCCAGTGTTAGCCGAAATTTAGAACAAGAAAACTTTCAAGCCTCGACAAATGACAGTTATAAGTAGGTTCTGTTTATGGAAAATATCAGCAGTGATATTATTATATACTTGCTTAATGAACACAGCTACATTTATGATCTATGCAAACAAAAAAATATGGCATATTCATGCAACTAGCATTGTCAATAATGATTTGATGCTAATCGAGCGATGATAAATGCAGAAGTATCTATGAGCAGATAGCACAGACCAGCATCTGATTTTAGGGCAACAACAGAAAAGACTTCAACACCACGTTTTCGCTAGCTTTGGTGTCACATCAATTTGTGGAAAAATATCAGGCATACCCCTTTTACCTAGATTTTACCAAATGGGCACTACTGTCTAAAATGCTCCAGTATCCCAAGGTCTTATTCAACAAATACATGACAGAGAAACATGTGCACTGTTGGTTCAAACTTTACACTCAGCACAACCTGTTCAACAAGGATTTCCCCCTGGAGTATTGCCGAAGAGAATGATACGTTAAGCTGTGGTTGCTGGCATGGCATGGCATGCCGCCTAAGTCATAACCAGTAGAATGCCAATTCATTCTGCTGGATTCCAGCGCTCATGCCAATTAATTCCGCCCGATTTCAGTAAAATCCTATCTTTTTCTGCACTAGAAGCCACACATAATGAAGAAAGTTCCTGATTTGACCACTTCAACCTACCTCATCGTGGAAGTACCGATTTTTTTGCACTGCAAGCACCTTATCAACAAATTCCCGATCTTTCTTCACCAAAAGCCCTAGCATGAGCACCCCCAAACAACCAAACTAACCATCGCATCCTCCCCACTAAACGGATCCAACCTACACAAGAAAGCCGAATTCGCACCCAGACGGAGAAAAGATCAAGCAGGGGCACATAATGGCAGCGCTCGAAGCAAACAAGATTCGCTAAAGCACCTACTTTGCCCCCCTCCTCCAGCAACAGCAGAGATGGGTTCCTAGAAAACCTACCTACTAACCAACAAGGAATACTTAAAGCAATCGAGTTGCGAGAGGTAATCAAAGATGAGGTGGGGAGGAAGGGCGCAGGGTGCGTAGGTAGAATGAGAGCTTACGACGTTCTCGTAGAGGCGGGGATCCAGGTCCATCATGGCGGGAGAGGCGGAGATCCGCGGCGGATGCGAGGTAAAGGGGGGACGCGGGCAGCAGGAGGAGGAGGGGAGAGAGGCTGCCGTGCCGCCGCGCTGCCTGCCTGCCGCTGGGGAGGCCGAAGATTCCCAAAAGGGGATTTTAACGAATTTGCTAAACTACACTATTTAAGTTACACGAGTGCATTATTTTTCTCTCCTTCTGTCTTGGGAGAGTCTCTTCAGGTTATTAACGACTTTTCTTTCGACGACTTGAAAAAAAAAAGAGATTTGGAGTTTAAGAAAAAAAAACCACACACCTCTTGCCACTATCCTATTCTCTCTTTCTAACAACTTAAGACGGGCCAACAGAAAATAATACTACGACCAAAGAAATAAGTCCATTTAATAATCTCATGAATTTTATTTGTTTAAAACATACTCCACCTTTTTTTACTTTATAGAAGACTATCCAACCCAAAAACTTTTAATTTATATCCCTTCATCTAAATCGGAATGATTTCCACTTACGTGAAACTAATCTTACAGTCTAGCAAAGTTTTTTAAGAAAATGACAAGCCGACAAATCAGGACTATCTTATATACTCCCCATTTACCAGCTAACTTACTTATTGACTATATCAGCCGACGGTAAGGGCAGTTCTTTAAACTCCAGTGCCTCATGCTTCATAGACTCCGCATAGGTGAGATTGAGTTCTAATAACGTGTTAAGCTCCTTCGTCGAGTTTCATGGTTCTAATCATTGTCTTATCATTGCAGATAAGCTCCAGATCCACTATGTCTTCTTGTTGAGCTTCTATCGTTAAGCTCCATATGAACTCTCTACATCCTCGAACTCCATCACCTCCTCCTCCACAAGCTCGCAGAGGTGAGCTCGCAAGCTCAAGCATCTCCTACATCGAGCTTTATATCCCCGAGCTCATTCATTGTTCGTTGTCGTCTCATGAGCTTAATTATCCACCCCCACATTCACGAGGTAGGCACCCCACCTAACCTCCATGTACTAGATTCTCCACCGACCTTCAACTCTACCATTGTCTTTGTGACAAGCCCCGAGCTCCACCGCAGCCATGGCTCTCCCCATCGAAGTCCAAGAGTACAGTAGTAGCTTGAGAGCTCGAGACACGTTGGATATGTTTAGTGTTAATATATGTAAAAATAATTAAAAAAGAAAATTGTTGGCCACTGTATAGCGTGGAGCATTGTAAATGCTGTTAGAGCAAGTTTAATAATAGAGCCAAGTATGAGCTTATAGCTTATATTAGGTTAACATATATAGTAGATCAGCCATAAGGTTATCTCTATTTTTCTCCTCCTCTCTCTATCTCTCACCTTTGCATTTAATGTATTTATCTTGAAGTATGTGAATGGCTAGCTCTTGTATAAGAGTCAACCCTCTTTATTTTTTAAATTATCTTTCTTCCATATAAATTTATAGTCGGTTTACAGCCTACTATTAAACTTGCTCTTAATCGTCTTCACGGCTGCATGAGCGTGTGAGGCCGTGCTAGCACCGGCGCCAGATTAGTCGCCCACTTTTCTCTCCCTTCTCAATTTTTTCCCATCCATATAAGAATAAGATGATATGTCGTATTTTGGAGCATGCATGCTGAATCAGTTTATTGTATCCGCTCTAAGTAATTTTCATGGTGTGATTCGTGCACAGGGGCGGATCCAGCATGGGGGCAGTGGTGTCTCGAGCCTCACTACAGGTGTGAAGACTATGAGAACCTCCACGAAGACCCCACTAAATTTTTTTACCATACGTAGATGGGTTGGTGGACTATAACTTTATATAGTTTGCTCAGATCATACTGCTATTTTTTTCTGGATCCGCTGTTGTTCGTGCAGTAGGTGCGGGCATGTGTCCACCAAGTCGGACATGTTCTGCTTCGGGCCTTCGGGGTCATTGTGCTCATGCGAAGACCGATGCCGCCAACCCCCATCACGGTCCAAAATTGCTGAGCTACGTAAGCACACGCCTGACAAAAATCAAGCAGCACCAGTAGATACTAGTACCCTGTAGATGAAACACGCCTCACTACACGCTGTTACAAACTGCACACCTATAGATGGCCATATGGCCCGCAGCCCGACTGCCCGGCCCAAGCACGGCCCGGCCCGTCAGTGTTCGTGCCCGTGCCGGCCTGGCCCGACAGCCGGGCCATGCCTAGGCTCCCGCAGCAGCACGCTGGGCCGGCACGGCACGATGGGCCGGCACGGCACGATGGGCCGACACGGCCCAGGCCTGTATAACGGTAGGCACGGCCCGACGAGGCCCATCGGGAGCCGCCGCCGCGTGCCCACGCCTCATATATAAAGGCCACCGCGTCCTCTCGCCTCCGCCAGTCCGCCTCCCTCACAACCCTAACCCTAACCCTAGCCGCCTCCGCCGATCCACGCACGCCTCCGCCTCCGCCTCCGCCTTGACCGCTCCGCCTCCGCTTCCGCCTCCGTCGATCCACGCCTCCACCTCCACGCGACCACGCCTCCATCTCTCCATCCCTCTCCGTCGCCGTCTCTGATGAACGCCTTGCCGGATCTACCACCGAGGGTCGCTGCCTCGCCGGATCCGTGACCTTGTCTCATCTCCGCCTCTCCAGTCTTTGGATCGTTGGCCGTGCTCTCGATTTCCTCTTTCTTTTTCATTTTTTTTGCCACTATCGCCCGCTCACCGTTTCTCCGTGAGCTCTTTGTCACATCACTCCCCAAACCCAGTCTCTGCTATCTTCTTCTCGTAGATCCGTCGATCTCTATCATCAACGGCAACTCCGGTGCTCCGGATGCGCAGGTACACCGTACACACCTATCTCTGCTCTTCTCTCCTCTCTTGGTTTTCTACTTCTCTCCGGTCCCTAACTGCTCTCTTCTCTCATTCTGTGTGTCTTGCAGGTCGCTGAGCGGTAGCCGCCGTTGAGGAACCGGAGTGCCGACGATGGACGATCCATCCTCTTGCAACCACGAGTTGAGGTTGATGGGGATGCGGGGTGATGACGAAGATGACTTGGAGGAGGAACATGTGCAGGTGTTCGGAATCACTTCGTCACCTCCTCACTTCGATGGGTCGCAGCCGGAGACGGAGCCGGACGTGGACGGTACCGGTGGCGGTGACGGTGATGGTGGCTCAGGCGCGTTGTCCGGCACCGACTCCAGTGCTACCAACAAGCGGCCAAGATCATCCAAGGTATGGGATGACTTCGAAGAACACTTTGAATCACGCAATGGCGCGAAGGTTCGCATTTCTGCTAAATGCAATCACTGCAAAAAAAACTTTGTCTGCTCATTCATCTGGTGGCACTGGTCATTTGCTTAGGCATCTCAAGTCATGCAAACCTAGAACTGCTAGTAATTTGTCACAGTCTATGCTTAAGCTCAATGCTGATGGTACTGTTCGTCCATGGGAATATGATCCTGATTATGCTAGAACTGAGTTGGTTAAATTGATTGCTGTAGAGGATCTACCACTGAATTTTGGTCAATCTCCTACTTTTGAGGAGTACATTCAGAATGTTCATAACCCTAGATTCCAAGCTGTCTCTAGGCAAACTATTAGTAGAGATGTTTTTAAGTACTTTGACAAGAGTCGTGCTATGCTTATTGAGAGGTTCAAGTCTGTTAACTCTGTTGCTTTGACATCTGATATATGGTCTGGTAATGCTAAGGAGGATTATTTAAGTGTTGTTGCTCATTTTGTTAATTCTGATTGGCAATTAGAGAAAAGGATTTTGGGTTTGGTGCTGATTGATGTGAAGCACACTGCTGAGAATATTACTGAACGTGTGCTTTCTGTTGTTGAAGAATATGGTTTGACTGATAAGGTTTTTTCTATTACTCTAGACAATGCCTCTTCTAATACTAAGGCAATGGATTTTCTAAAACCTAAGTTGTCTGCATATGTTGGTGATTTATATTTGCATCAGCGCTGTGCATGTCATATAATCAACTTGATTGTTAAGGCTGGTCTAGAAGTTTTCAAACCCATGCTTCAAGATTTTAGAACAGCCATCTCATTTGTGAATGCATCTAATCAGCGCATTGCTTTATACAAAAACTGGTGTATTGCTAAGGGTGTTCGACCTCGTAAGTTTGGTTTGGACATGGATGTTAGATGGAATGCAACTTATCTAATGCTCAAGCATCTCTTCCCACATAAGGAGCTTTTTTCATTGTTTATTGAAACTCATTATCCTAGGGAAAATGGTAGACTATTGCTTACTGATTTGCACTGGACAATTGTTGAAACTGTGCTTTTATTCCTTGAACAATTTTATGATTCAACTGTTATTTTGTCTGGTGTTTATTATCCAACATCTCCATTAATTATGCATCACATTCTTGAGATTGCTGGACATCTTAACACTTATGAGAATGATAATAACTTTAGAAATGTTGTTGTTCCCATGAAAAGTAAGTTCTTGGCATACTGGTCTGAGATTCCATTTCTGTATTCATTTGCTTTTATCTTGGATCCTAGGGCTAAGATCAGAGGTTTTAGCAATGTTCTACAAATTATGTCACAAATTTTGACCTCTGATTACTCTACTTATTTAACTGAGGTTAGGGCTGCATTGTCTGACATTTTCTCTTAGTATGAAAGTAAGTTTGGTGCTGTGAGATTGCAAAGAATAACCCCAGGTTGTACTGCTGGTAAGAAAAAGATAGCCTGGGGAAAGATTTTTGGTGCCAGTGATGCACTTGGACATGGTGCTGGTGCCAGTCCAGGTTCTGGACTTGGTGCTGGACTTGGTGCTAGTGCCAGTCCAGGTTCTGGACTTGGTGCTGGTCCATTTTCCAGGAGAACTTCTGCTACTGCTTTGATTCAGGCTGTTTCTTCTAATGCTAACTTGAATGCCTCTGAGTTGTCTGCCTATCTTGATAGTGACACTGTCAACCAATTCGACGATGACTTCAATATCCTAAACTGGTGGCATGAGCACAAACACACATATCCTGTTCTGTCCATATTAGCTAGAGATGTCTTGACTGTTCCTGTTTCTACTATATCGTCGGAGTCTGCTTTTAGCTTAACTGGCAGGATCATCGAGGAGCGACGACGACGTCTAGGTCCTAACATGGTGCAAGCTTTGGCATTGATCAAGGACTGGGTGCAGGCAGACAAGAAGTTGCAGCACACTGCTGAGAATGTAGAGCTTATAAAATCGTTTGAGA